ATAAAAGGGTGGGATTTTATTTTCAAATTCTGATTCATCATAGTTGCAAAAAAACACAAGGTCCCCAAACTTTTTCAATAGTCCCTTCAATATATCCTTCCATCCGGCTTGGCTATCAGAAACAAACCGTTTCACCCACATAATCTGTTGTGCTTTAAAAAAGGAGTCCACCTCAATCATATTCAATCCACCGCTTTCAATATCTGAAATAAGGATGTTTCTTTTAATTTTATCCTTTCCATTCCAAATAAAATTGTAAATAATACTATTGATTATAAATAATACTAAGATGGTCGCCAGTCAGCCATATTGAATCAAATTGCAAATTGAATTGACATGTACATGTATCCATTTATGACATGCTAAATATCAATGAAAATAAAAATGATACATGGATGACGGAGATATAGTAATATGGCCAAAAATAAAAACAGCCGTTATTCGGCCATCTTTGATCTGATTATGAAACAAAGTGACATGTATGATGTATGTGCCAAATACAAATAAAAATAGTACATAAATTTTGGAAATATAGTACTGTAGTAATTAAGACCAAAAAGTCAGATGGTTGTCAATTGACCACCCTTGATCCGATTTTGAAACAAATTGTCATGGACATGTATCCTAACATGTTTAAAGCGTTGTGCCAAATTTGAATGAAAACTGACAAAGCATGTCCAAGATACCACATTTAAAAAAAACAACAAGATGCCTGCACGAACGAACGATCGTAGATCGAATTATAAGTCCCCGTTTTCGGACTTTGTCCGAACAGGGACTAATAACATGAGTACAATAATTAAAATTTTTGTAGTGATCAAAGACATAGGTTATAGAGCTAGGCGTACAATATTTTCATGTGTACAACCAGTTTTTCAGAGTGGCTGTCCCAAATAGATTTTTTAGTTTAACTATGCCTTTTTGCATCAGCTACCTGAATTTCACTTCTCTTCAGGCGAAATCTCTCGCTTTTGGAGACGTTGTTTTGGGGGAAGGTATCTTACTGATGTTTTTATGATTCATAGTGACATAAAAAGGATATTTGATATGAGACTGACTTGCTTTTAAAGAATTTGTGGATCATTCTTGTGTGTCATTATTATGTAATTAGGGATAGTCTATTTACAATCCTGGGGGGGGGGGGGGTGATTCTTTTCACTTTACAATGTGGTGCCGTTTTTCTGTACCTTAACAACCATGACAGCCCTTTTTGGCCAGATTGTTTTTAGAAATAGAAACTTTGAAAATTTGTATTTCTGCTAGGTAAATATAAGCCGCCACTACCCCCCCCCCCACCACCACCGTTTTAGGTGGCCCATCCCAAGATATACATATA